GCTAATGCTGGTGTGCTTGTGATCATTGCAGTACACTGACCAGGCGATGGAAACAAACCAATTACCCACCATCAAATGCATCTATACAGAAGAGAGAAAATATACAGCATATTTAAACAGGAATATCACTCAAAAATATTTCAGAAGAAGGAAATCAAGGTAGATTTTGAGTAGATGAACATTAAGGAAGTTAGTTATAGATCACAGAAACAAGTAGAACTGTCAAGAACTACTATTGAATTAGTGTTCATGGGTAGAGGTTAGCAAAATGGAAATGTTACATGTATCTATTTCTGTATAATTTCAATATACTTATTAATACTCAACCTTACACTAGCAATAATTAAGATGGAAGTTTAATGTTATGTGCTTTCTGGACTATAACTAAAACAATGTCTGAGCCATAGTCTGTTGACTTGTGTTTTAAACGTCAAGAGTCTGTGCTCTTGATACATCAAAATCATTGTTGCTATTCCTGAATTTTCTCTTTTGAGTTATAAATGTTTACCTCAATACCATGGGTACTACAATGATGCTCCATTCTTCTGGTGTCTTTTTCAATGACTTTTTCAGCTACAGAGGTAGAAATTGTATAAAACTGTATCAATAACAGTTTTGGGTAAAACCAGGCAGTATAAAGTAATTAGGGCAGGTTATGGTGGTAAATATAGATATCTTCAATGTCTGTATTATTGTGGCTTATAAAATGGATACACACACACAGAGAGAGAGAGAGAGAGAGAGAGAGAGAGAGAGAGAGAGAGAGAATGAATGTGGATTCATTAAACATTAGTGTTTTCCAAAGGGCTATTTAGACTTTGTCCAAATATATGTGTCAAAATTTAGTTGGGAATTGCATGTCCAGATGGAATGCTCCAGTGCTTCATCCTTTGGAAAGAAAAAAATTAAAACATTACATTCAAATCCAAGAAGACTTTTCAGAATTCTGTGTACAGTTTGGGTATTTTAGTCCAGTCACATCCACAGTGATGCCTCAGCAACTAAAGTGGGCCATCTTGTCCACCAACCATGCTTAAAGAAAGAGCTTTGTAAAGCAGAGCAATGGGCTCGTAAGACACTATCTAAGTTCTTTTTACATGTCTGACCATAGAAACTCAAGGAGCAATAGAGAAATCTTGATGACACAGCTATTCTAAAAATGATACCACTTCTCCCAATTCCCACCCAAATATTTTTGTCTCACTGTCATTGTTAATGTATAATTTACATACAAAACAATTTTTATAATTTTTTTAGTGTGAGTGTGTGAAAGTATGCTTATAGGTGCTTACAGTTGGGTAACTACTGCAATCATTCACTTCAAGGTCTCTTATAAATTTTGAGTTTCATTTGGTTGGAAGAATATAGATATAAAATGACTCATTTGCATCATGAATATATATTTACTCCATAAACAAATCACAGGTCTTAATTGTTTTTAAATTATTAAATTAATATTCTTAAATTAATAAAAATATAAGATTGGTCTCAGTCAAAAACATATATACATACATACACACACACATACAAACACACACACACACACACACAAGGGATTTGGTGGTGGTGAATGACGTGTGTGTGTGTGTGTGTGTGTGTGTGTGTGTGTGTGTGTGTAGTGTGTAGTGCTGGTTTTTGGAGAAATCAGCTATATCATTGGTGCTTGTTTTGATGTTGCAATGATGGGGCCTAGAGTATTGTGGATTCTAGTGATGTGTCCTTCCACTGAGCTCTATCCCCAACCATCTTTTCTTCTTACTTTTTATTTTGAAGCAGAGATGGGTAAGTGGCAGTTACATTTAGCTGTGACACTGGTGTTGCAAATCCATGTCCATTTCCATACTTGCCTCTTCTGCCCTATTACACTCCCCATCCTCCAGTACCTGATAATGACCCTCTAACTTCTTCTGGTCTTGACCTAATAGCCTTTGCAGGCTAGTAGTGTGTGCAACGTCTCTGCAACTTCTTGGGTGTTTATGTCTCTCCTGAAAATGGATATGGGTTTTCTCAACACACTCTCTGAAAATTATGTACTACATACTTTAGTCATTCACCACCACCAAATTCCTCAATCCTAACCCCCATGGTTTCTACTCATAGATGGGTAATGTTGGCTGATTACTTGATTAGTCTGAGAAGCACCTATGAGATTAGTAAAGCACATCCCTGGGTATATCTATGTGGGTTTGTGGAGATACTATGTCATAAGAGCTCTGACCTAAATGAATGCATTAATGAATTGACTGATCCAAAGTTGACTCTTAGGAGAACTGTAGAACACAAGGGAAGATTGAAGAAGATGTGTCCCTAGAAAGCATGTCTTTTGAAGCTGAAAGTTGCCCTCCTTCTTTCTTATTATTTCTCTGTACTGCTTCCTGGCCAGCATGACGAATACTCACATACTATCCCTTGCATGGTAGACAGAGACCTATGAAAGAGTGAAATAATTTTTTCTTTAAATTATTCACTTAAGAGAATATCAGATAACCAAAAGAAACTAATGATTCAATGTTAATATTTACATTGCTTGGAGCAAGAGAAATGGCTGGGTGCTTAAGACATTTGCTCCTCCAGAGAGAGAGAGAGAGAGAGAGAGAGAGAGAGAGAGAGAGAAAGAGAGAGAGAGAGAGAAATTTTAAAAATCTTGCATTCAATTCCCATCATGTTGAGTTTCTCAGGACTTTCTGTTACAGCAGCTCCAGCAGATTTGACATAATCTACGGGAAGATATAGGTACCATGAATCAAGGTTATTCTCATCAGGGTTACACACAACTATTCAGACATAATACTTAAAATGAATCCTAAAGCAAAATAAAAACAAATACATACATTTCTTAGTAACCTGATGTTGAAGGCACAATGTCAGCTGTACTGTTCCCTTTCCCTCGCTGTGTAGATGGAATCAGTAGACAAAGCCTCTGAGTTTCACTCAGAGACTGTTTGTAGTCTCACCTGCCTCTCCACCACCTCATCACTGTTTCAAATCCCTGTTTTGGGTCTCCTTCTGAGACCATTAGTGGAACCTACTAGTTATTTTTGGATCACCAGTATCCACCCTACCTATTTGTGATGGTATATACATGCTTGCCTGGAGGGGGGGCACTATTAGGAGGTGTGGCCCTGTTGAATAGGTGTGTCACTGTGGGCGAGGGCTTAAGACCCTAGCTGCCTAGAAGTCAGTCTTCCACTAGCAGCCTTCAGATGAAGATGTAGAACTCTCAGCTCCTCCTGCACCATGCCTGCCTGGATGCTGCCATGTTCCTACCTTAATGATAATGGACAGAACTTCTGAACCTGTAAGCCAGCTCCAATTAAATGTTGTCCTTATAAGAGATGCCTTGGTCATGTGTCTTTTCACAGCAGTAAAACTCTAGCTAAGACACTATTCAATCACCTTCTCACTCCTATTAGCATAGTTGATTTAAACCTATTTCTAACTATACTATTTTCATCCTTTCCAAGCATGGGTAATTGGCCTTTGACCTACAGGCTGCACATTTCCCAGGATAGCTCAGAATACGGCCCAATACAAAAATCATGAACCTGTTTAGAGCATTATGTGGAGTTTTGTGTGTGTTTGTGTGATTTGTTTTGTAGTCCAGTTGCACAGTTCCTGAGAGTGTACTTTGTAAATGACAATAGTGTAACATAATGTCAAAAGACTGGACATGGCTGCACGATTTGCTTGCTCCCTATTGCTTACAGAAGAAAATTGAAATTTTGTAGCATCCCATAGAAAGACATCTAGACATTTCATTGATACGTTAATGTTATCGTTGGGCAAATTACTTTCTAGCGATGATACTTCAGGTATAAAAATAAGGATAGAATTTATTTCACAAGCTTGTGATGATGAGCTAATAAAACGTGAAAAAGGATGTAGCCATGGTGAGTTTCCACCCCTTCTGCCTTATCTTTCAAAACCATCGTATCCCAGTGTGAATTGCTCCTTTAGTCGTACTAATTATGCATTTATTTCAGAGTATCCATTTTCCCTTCTTTTCATGAGCACTGGGTCCCATAGTAGGCACCAGAGATGAAAAGGAACACCTGATCTAGTAGTGAAGCTAGAGCCGTTATAGAGAGATGAAGATGTGCAATGGGGGCGTGGAAACTAAATGTAAATGTGATTGGGAACAAGGGGAATAAGGAAGACTTGCCATCGGTATGCCACATGAACTAGATCTTAGATGAAAAAAATTTTGATAATGGACAAATCCTGTCATGAGATATAAAAGGGGAGATTGTGTTAAGGTTTGGAAATCAATTCTAGCCCCAGAAGGATTACTTGTTAGATCTATATCTGCAGCAGGCAATGCTTTTTATGAGATTCTGGGAATTTAGGAGATTGAGCCTAGTTGGAGTTAATATAGGTAGATGCTGGGGAGCTGTCTTTGTCTTAGTCTCTCTCTTTCTCTCTCTCCCTCCTGCCTTCCCTCTCTCCTCCTCTTCTTCCTTCTCCTCCTCCTCCTCCTCTTCCTCCTCTTCTTCTCTTCCTTTCCTCTCTCTCTCTCCCGCCCTCCCCCCTCCTCTCTCCTTGCTGCCTGACTGCCAGAAGGTAAACAGCTCTTCTCCACCATACACTCCACAACACCATGATCTGCTGCCTCATTGCAGATACAGAATAAATAAAACCAAATGACTGTATTTTATCTTCTGAAACTGCAGTCCAAAATAAATCATCCCCGGTTTATGGATTTTAAGTTGTTTGTGCCAGATTCCAAGTCCCTGAGCCAAAATGAAACTGATACCTCCTGGTGCCTTAGAACCGCTATAGCCTCTGTAGATTATGAATAACCTCTATGATTCTCTACCAAAACTGTTGTAGATCACTTTTCTCCATACAAAGTATTATCTAGAATCTCTCTATTATTTCTTTCTTCTCCCTCTTTCCTTGAAGTATTAGCTGCAGGATTGTAATCTTATGTTAATTTGGTTGCCAAAGATAAGGATGGCTCCTCAATTTATAAGCCACTCAACCAACATTGTTTTGCCTAGGATTTCCAGTCTCTCCTGAGTCTCATTGTCCAGTTGCTATAAAGGAAACTTTTCCCCTCTGACCCTTGTCTTCTCAGCAGCTCATGATGGGTAAGTATATAGGGTAAGGAGTCTCATGGGATTTGTTTTCTTCTGCTGAAATCGGGGTCATTTACAGACTCATTCAGTGCCATTTGATTATAATCTGCAAAGTGCATGTTCGTTCTAATTTATTCCAAGACAGTAGTACATCTACAAACTGTTACTTCTGCAAACTTTTCCCTGACACCCTTCAAAATCTTCATACCTTATTATGCAAATTTTGGAGTGAGGAATACTTCTAATTTTATCAAATCTTTAAACTGTCAAAGAAATTCTCCTTAGTGTGGGCTTTATACATAAAAGTCTAAACACAACAGTTTTTTAGGGATTATGGAAACCACACATCATTTTATCAGTAGGGTTTTGAATGATGATGTGTACATCCTAGTTAGCATTCAGTAGATCTCAGTTTTGTTCTGAGTCCATTGTGGCCAATTAGTTCAAGAAGGTATTTTGTTTGAAGTTGGGCTTGATATTGACTCTTGCTTTTGATCTGTAGGATTTTTCTTAAGTGAAAAATATTTTTCTGCTCTAGACAGATTGTCTCTCTAGACAACATATGGGAAAGATGTCCACACACATCCTGTTCCCCATACTTGGACTTGTTCTGGTGATGAGTGATGGGGATTTCCAAAGATTCCAAATGCTTCTTTCTGGCAACTTCTGTAGAACTCATCAACCTCAAAATTCTTTCCCATTGACTCTTTAGCATTCAAACAAGATACTCTTATTTGGGCAATTCAGGATGATCATGAGATTATATCACTTTAATTGTATGGATTTAGATTTGAAGGATCTAAAATGGTTCATGTTCCATTGAAGGTAGATCCATCCTGGATTTATTGCCACAGAGATTGGTTTCTTCCTTCTGTGTAGCCCTGCAACTAGTCCCTGTGGCAACTAAATGCTTTCAGGGCTTTCAGAAGTACAGGGAACTGCTCTGGTTATTCTGAGAAGAAACAAATCTGTGTATTTAGGATTTCTATTCTATGTAGTACATATTACCAAATCCTATGCCACTTTTCTTTCCTCCTTTGAGCCACCAATCCTCAGTATCTGGCATAATTCAGTGTGGATATAATAATTCACATCTGTTCCTTGCACCAAAGTTTCTACATTCCATTTTCAGTACCATACCTGTCAACGAAACGGAGAATAGAGTCAGACGTTTTAAAAACATTACTACAAAGCTGTATTGTGGCCAAAATAAGAGTCTGCTGTCTTTCTGAAACAAATACTCCTTCTTTATTATCTCTCTCTCTACTTTCATTTATCTTTATGGTAATGAGTCATATTCATTCAGTGATTCCTTCAAAACACATTTATTGATGGAAAGTGACAGAGGAAAGCAAAAACACTAGAGGAAAATATTGGGAAGATGTCCAAGAGGAACTGACCTCTGAACCAAGCTGGGCTCAGAATCATCAGTGTATTTGCTTTGTCTTTACCTATCAAATAAATATGGAGTTGCTAAGTGCTCAGCACCCTAGAGAAGTGCATGACACTGTAATAGTATACTTACTATAAAACTAGCTGTTTACTGTTTATTACATGAGGCCTTTACTGGCTTTTGCTGATATCACAAAAAAAGTATAGAAGAGAGTTAAATTAAAGATATTAGATTGCTAATGAATATGAAAATAATCAAAGGAAATTTCCTGGATCCAATGGATCAGGAAGAATATGAGACCTAAATATGGAAAAGGGATTGGCCAGCATAGCTTCTTAAGAACAATAGAAAGAAAAATTGTCCCCGTTGAAAGAAACAGGCTGAACTGAAACTGTATTGGGTTTTTTCCTATGAAATAACATCTGTGGGGTACATGCAGATATATGAGGAGTTATATTATGGGAATTGGTTCACATAATTTTGTAGGCTGAAAAGTCCCACAACCTGCCATCTGCAGCCTGAGGAACCAGAGAAGTTAATGGTGCCATTCAACAAAAGTCAAAAAGCCTGGGAGAAGCAGACGATACTGGTATAGATTCCATCATCCAAAAGCCTACATATCGGTAGCTTCAATGTGCAAAAGTAAAGGAAGTTAGAAGAACCAACTTGAAAGAGAAAGAGCCTGCTTCTCCTCCCCCTTTCTGTTCTACTTTTGTTCTAAGTAGTTTCAAAGTTGGTGCTGAATGTGGATTCTTTCATTCTACCTATTGGCTCAAATACTGATCGCTCTTGGAAACACCTTTATAGAAACACCTAAAAGCAACAGGCTGCCACTTGTGTTTGTCAGTTGATACTTAAACCTTTCTAGTCGACACACTGAACATATCATTGAAAAGTTTAATGGATTCTAAGTCCACAAAGAAAGCTAATATCAGAGCGTCAAGAGGGGAAAGTGAGAAGGGAGGTGTGATGGTGGGAAATGAACCCAAGTCTGGAAGTTCAAAATCAGGAAGAGTCATGGTTTCAGGGTTTAAGATTAGAGAAACACCAATCACGCAGCATTCAGCTGTCAGACAAGGAGAGTCTGTACTTGCTCTCAGGAAGATAAGACTTTTAACTAGATTCAGGTTTTCAGCTGATTGGATAGGGCACTGTAAACACATGGTATGGCCCTCTGCTTTGCAATGGCTAGAAGGGAAAAACAACTAATTTCATCTGAAACATATCTACAGGTGCATCCAGAATCCTATTTAAGCAAATATCTGGGCATCCTGTAGTCTAGGCAATTTAATGCATAAAAGTAACCATTAGACTGGATAGCATGACTTGTTGGCTCCAAAATGAATGTTGTGACTACTTTCCTACTATGAACTGTTTATTGTCCTTATGATCTCCATTTTTGTCACACAAATTAATTGTTGGCTATGACCAACTTTTGCAAATTAATTCTTGAGACTGTCCAAATAAAAGATTTTTTCACAATATGATATTTGCCAGACACATCATTATCTCCCTATATCTCCCACTTTCCCTGATTTGTAGGTTTTGGGATGTGGGATTATATGGTTTCTCTGAGCTATATACTGCATTCTAGGGTTTTTGGGATGTGAAACCATCAAATTTATCTCCAATCTTAATATAATGAGGCAGAGATGCCATTCTTGTGTGCTGGCTTCCCCAAATATTCAGAGTGATCTTAGTTGTGTCAGATCAATAACACAAACTTTTTGCTCATTAACATCTTGATTTAATTGACATTGACTGATCATACATGAATATATAGAAAATTACCAATAATGACCTCAAGGTTTTCTTGTGTCTGCTATGTGATGTGGCTTTGTGTTATAGATTGGAGACTCATCCTTTCCAGGTTATCAAATATGAAAAAAAAAAGATGCTTAGCATTAAAGCCCGGTGAACACTGTTGAAGGCTTTGTGAGCGGAGGGTCTGAAAACATATAAGAAGCACTTGACCCTGGATTTGTCTCATCACATTCCCATCATGTGTTAGCTGTCAAGTTTCATCTTTACTATAAACTATAGACAGTTATCTATCTTTAAATGAGTCAAGAACTTCAGCTTTCTCGTGTCATTTGTGTTACTATAACTGACTGTATCACAAAAATGCAGAGGAGATAAAACAATAGATCAAAGTTCATTGACCTACAAAAGTTTTTTTTTTCAAATGATTATTCCTCCAGACTTGGAACTTTGCTTTCCTGCACAGAGTTTCATCAAAATGTTTGTGATCTAGCAGAATCCCTTATGAATTAAAGCATAAGTAAAGGGCTTTTAATTCTCTTTTAGTTTTAAAAAGTAACTCAATTTCTTCCCCAGTTTCACTTCCCTGCCCTACCTCCATCCCCAGCACATTCCCCACAGCACTGAAAAGAGCTGTTAGACCCTTGTTAATTAAGGATCCATTTCTGCTCTTTTGTCAGGGGCAATCATTTGTTTAAGAGCTGGTTTTCTGCCTTAATTAAATGAAAATGTCACCCCATCAAATGAATTCATTTATATTTATTTATCCAGTTCTCTAGGCTTGAATCTCTTAAGTAGGGACTTGGGCTCATCACATTTGCTCACACAATGAACTGAAAAATGTCTCATCAGTTTAAAAGACTCACAAATGACCACTCTGCCCTGCAGAAACATCTCCTAAGGAAACCTGTGACTAACAATGTGGAAATGGTTCTTTCCTCATGGAAAAGTTATCTAGTTCTATGCAGGATTCATATTGAAGGACATCTGTGCACACACATGCACCTGTGTGTGCTCAAGCAGCAAAGAGAATGCCACCCATCGCTGGAATCTCTTGGGCTTGTGCACAAAACAACCTGTGTATTTGCAATGCCTTTTTAAAATGCTGATAGCTGATGCAAGGTTTACAGTCTATCCTGCTTCCCCTCCAAATTTGAAAGATCAATTTATTGTTTATAGTCGCCATAATTGTTATCACAAGGAGTGCTTTAAGGGAGGATGGAAGAAGGATTGTGAGGAGTGGCTAGGAGGGGGACAGTGAACGGGATGGAAAGTAAATAAAAAACTAAACGAATGAATTATTTTTTAAAGAAGAAACTTAATTAATCTAAAGAAGTAAAAGAGAACAATTTTTTTGTTCAGTCAATAATATATTATGTGTCTACTATATGTTAGATGAAGTATTTAGACTCATTGATGAACAATGTAATCTGAGGTATTAAAAGGTAAAAGAAGAATAAAGAGTCATATGGACACAATTATGACCAAAATACCTATATGCATGGATGAAAATGCCACAGTGAAGTTCACAGATATGCTGTAAAATATAAGTCTGTGTTCTTGTTCATACATGCAACATATGGTACCTAGCATGTAGTAGGTACTTAACAAACTGATTGACCAGATTAATGAATTGACCTTGCAGGAAATGTTGACAAAAGTCAAGCAACTGTTATGCTCTTAACTGTATAGAATCGTCATAAGAACATGCTGGAAATTATGAGTGTGTAGTGGGTACTAACAGATTTTTTTTTAAAAAAAGAAAAGCACTCAGGAAGTATTCCCCAAGGGAAGAACACTGATGTCAAGATATTTCACTACAGCAAATTACATGGTGGGCAAGTGAGTGGTGGGACAT